GGCGGATCAAATGTCCCAGTGGCCATCTCTTGTGCGGGATATTCAGAACAGGCTGGGCAAGTTACTTGGCGTGAGTGGCGGACTGTGTAGAACTTATATATTCCGGCTACTTAACTTGTATATAGTAGCCTGAATTATTTCTATTTCATAGGTGTTCAACTCCCGCAGCTGTGAATTGGTGCTTGGGGCTGGCGCTCGTGACCTCTCCGTGCTTACCACCATCTCTGCGCGTAATTTGGCCCTCGTCTGCCGCAGCCTTGAAGTCATTATCGCCCTTCTGCCTTGTCTAGCTGTCTTCTTCGAGAAGTAAGTGTTGAGACTTTTCCCTGCTCCCCTTCAACCCCTCTTTAACTTGTTCAGTAGGAGGCTTTTGGGGATATTTCCACAGCAGCAGTGTTTTGCTTTTCCCTCCCACAGATTCGTTGACGCTCAGGAAAAAAGTAAAGCAAATGGTGAAGCAAGAGTGCTGCAGTTACGACGAAATTTTCCCCTGGAATCTCGGAGGCGGCCTTCAGGAGACCCGTTTGGCAGCGTCGAGCAGGCAGTCAGGTAGTTTTTGAGTTTGCTCTCTCTGTCTCTGAAAGGGGTTGGTTAACTTTTCAACTGAATGTGACGGTTTTTACTCGCGCAAGTGCTTGGAACTTTCCTTCCAGTACACTCCTATAGACGTCCTAGCTGTTGTTAGTAGTTATACCAGTTTCAGACTGAGTCTAGGCAAATAAGCTTTCAAGTTCCTCCAACACATTACCACTTGCCCCCCCCCCTCAACCGACCCACCGACTGGGTTTTGCTCTCTTTGTGTAGGTTGTTCGAGAAACCGGGGACATTTTAAAAGGTTAGATTAGTTGGGCAATCCGTTTTTGTCAAATTCGTAGTAAGACCGAATACAAAATGCAGTGGTTCTTTCAGGAACACTTAATCGCGTTGCCACCTCACAATGGCAGGATATAAGTCTCTTGTACTCGATACCAGTGTCAATTGATCGTTCTCCTGAATTTTATAAATATGGCATCACGACCTTTGTTGGATTTCTTCTGAATTGTTGTTTATTCTGATTATAAAAAAGCTTTGTGCATTGTTCTCTTGTGCACACGGTTAATCTTATGTCCGTTATGAACGCCAGTTCTTTTGCCTTTGTCCGCTGAAATCTAATCATCAAACAGAAAGTTGCATAAGTAAATAATAAGAAGGCCGTTTTATTTCCGAAATCACGTCTTAATTCATCGGAGTTTTCGAACTCTAACTGCAGTCCATCGTCAGCGATAAAAGTGACAGGAAAACAAGCAATAGTTATAGGGGATATAAGTAAATCAAACACCAGTAACGCCAGTCAGGAGTAACTGCGACGGACTCTGTATTCCGGGGCCAGGTCGATATATTGATTGACTGGCTCAGGCTCAATCAATTTATGGTTTTTCTTCCTTCGGAAAACTGACCGGCTCGGGCTGTGGTCTGATGCTGGAGGTGGGAGAGAGAAAGAGTTCGACAGTTTAGTGCTTTTTTTACTATAAACAATCTGCCGCCCTTGGAGCTATCTGGGTGCGGTAAAGCTAATGACGGGACAACTTGGACTACATGTTCAGTCTAGTGTTTGTTGTGTGGAGTGACTGGCTGGCTGACTGAGAGTGAGGCTGCAATGGTCTCTTCATAATGCAGCCTCTATATCACTCTCTCTCAGCTGGGATCCGAGCCGCTTCCTCCCCCCCCCTTTGCTGCTGCTTTCTTGTTTTTGATGGTCCACAGGGTGTGGGCCTGCACCCTCTCCTATCTTATTGACTGTGTCTGGACACAGGGCCTAGGTGGGTGAGTGTACCAGAGAGTGCAGTTCACTATTACAGTAATGAAGCCCAAGTCACGGTCCATGTCTCATGCTGCTGTGAGGCACACGGTTGACTTTGTCGATGTGGACGATAGAACTATCACGGTATCAGATGAATACAGAAG